AGGTTGTGGAATCATATAGCAGGGGAGAGAGAAGAGACACAAAGCAGAAGAAAATCTGCCGTGTATATACATACCATGTGTATACTGAAATAGAAGTGGAAGACACATCCTGGACCATTCACTTGAGTCCTCAACAGGAGAGAAACAACTGGGGACAGATAAGGACCCCAGGAGACATAGGGGTGGGGACTAAGGGAGGCTTGGAACTGCTTCCTTCAAGGGATTCGGAACGGGGAGCTGGAGGGTGGCATTTCCATCCACTGCGGTGCGTCTCCAGTGCCCAAACCAGCCAAGCTCTCAGTCTGTCTCACTCTCTTCTCTTCTCACCTGCTCCCCACCCATGGATCCCAGGGCAGTGCCAGAATCATGTAGAAAGCCACTGGCCCTTAGCCAAGTTTGTTACCCTCCCCAGGCCTCAGTTTTGGTTCTATAAAATGGGGCTACCATGAGCCCAGCCCACCCCACAGAACCGAGAAGGTGAATGAAGACATTTTGTATATCACAAAGTTCTGTGTAGATACAGACGATTGAAAGTTCATAGCACATCTGTTTATAATAGCCCCAAACTGCAAATAACCCAAATGGCAATCAACAGCAGGATGAATAAACAAATTGTGCTTTATTTATATGCTGGAATACAACATAGCAATCAAAAAGAATGAACTGCTGTAATATGCAAGGGCATGGATGACCGTCCCAGACAGAATGTTGAGTGAAATAAGCCAGGCACAAGAGTAAACAGGGCTCCCTGTGTGGCAAAGTCAGTTAAGCCTCGACATTTGGTTTCAGCTCAGCTCATGAGCTCAGGGTCGTGGGACGGAGCCCCACATCAGGCTCTGCAATCAGCACGGCGTCTGCTTAAGACTCCCTCGCCCTTTCCTTCAGCCCCTCCCCCCTGCTCGCTCGCTCGCTCTCTGTAAAATAAATAAATCATTAAAAAAAAAGAGTAAACATACTGTATGATTCAATTTATAAGAAGTTCAAAAAGAGGCAAAACTAATCTGTGATGGCAGAAGTAAGACTAGAAATTTCCTTTGGGGGACACTGACTTGGAGGGAGGGGTGCAAGAGGGCATTCTGGGTGCTGGAAATGTTCTAGATCTTGACCTGGTTCATATACAGGTACAAACTTATTGATGTGTGTACTTGCTGGCACGTGAGTTATACCGCCGCTAGAAAATGTAAACGACTAAACTTAGGTGGAGTGTGAGTCTCCGTCAGAAGGTCAGAGGGCTTTCTGGAAGGATATTAGGAAATGATTTTGCTGCTCCCTCTCTCCTGCTCTCATGTCCCCCCTCACCCCACTCCACAGCCTCTCTCTAAATAGGAACCTCTTGTTCCTCAACATTCCTTTATTCCACTCCTTTACTTCCTCATCGGAACCCCTTCTATGAGTCAGGCACTATGCTAGAAGCTGAGGGTGCAACCTCTCAGCCCTCCTTGGTGCAATAAACAGGTATCTTAACATCTACTCTGGGGCCCCTCCTCAACCAGCATGGAGCATTTTCTCTCCAGCAGGTCCCAGTGGCAAAGAACAGGGCATAGAATATCTAAGATCCTTTCCAGTCTCCACCTATGGTTCAAAAAAGGAGAAAGGTGCCTACTATGTGCCGGGGTGCATTTATTCCTCTACAAAACAGGTCACATAGCTGGAAGGCAGCAGGGGTAGAGGGGTATGTCTGATTCCTACATCTTTGCCCTTCCCACCACTCCCACGGACCACCCCCCACCCCCAGGAGCAAGGTCAACCTCGCCCTCTCTCTGGGCATCTGTGTAGCTGGCCTCCAAGGTGGCCACCCCATTGATTCTTGCCTCCAAGTATTCATGTCTTTATATAGGTCCCTCCCACAGTCAATGAGGATGACCTATACAACCAATAGGATATTGTAAACATAACAGTGTTTGTCTTCCAAGGCGAGGACATAAAAGACATTGTGGCTACCACCTTGCTCTCTCTTGGATCATCCACTCCAAGGAAGCCAGCCACCATGTTGTGAGGACACTCAAGGAGATCTATGGAGAGGGCCATGTGGCAAGAAACTAGGACCTCCTTCCAACAGCCAGCACCAAGTTGCTAGCTACGTGAATGAACCACCTTGGAAGCAGCTCCTCCAACCCCAGTCAGGCCTTCAGATAACTACAGCCCCAGCTGACATCTTGACTGCCACCGCATGAGAGACCCCAGGCCAGAACGAGCCAGCCAAGCCACTCCCAAATTTCTGACCCATGGAAACTATATGAGATAATAAATGTTTGTTGTTGTTTTAAGCTACTGAATTTGGGGGTAGACTGTTACATCATATTGCTATATGTAAATAATATAGCCCCTCTCAGCTCAGATCATGGGTTCATGCTGCAAGAACAGTCTGGAAGGTGGCATGTTAAGGTGTCCAGAACTATCCACTCACTAGAGGGATGACCAGCGTGGGCTGAATCTGAGAGGACAGGAAAGAACACACATGCACAAGAAATCCCCAGGATGTGGGAGAAGAGCTGTGAAATAAGAAATCAAGCAAAGCAGAAATCTTGGCACCTTCTTCCCTAGAAATTTCTCACAGACTCCATCTATCTCAGTAAGTGGAACCACGTGCACCCAGTGACTCTGGCCAAAAACCTGGTAGTCATCCTTGGGCCCATTATCTCTCACACACCCAACATCTCATCCATCAGCCAAGTCCAGGGCTCTACCCCCATGATGTATCCCAGACCTGGCCCCTTCTCACTGCCTTTCCTGCGAGCACCATGGACTAAGCCACCAGCCTCCTTCATCTGGGCAACATCAGCAGCCTACTGGTCCATCTCCGTAGCCTACCCTTGTGCCTGCTCAAGGCCAGAGTAGGCTTCTCAAAACAGATTAGATCATGTCCCATGTGCTCAAAACCCTCCAGGGCTCACCATTCTCCAGTGACATGGCCTTCTTTCAAAGCATTTCATAAGCTCATCTCACCTCAGGGCCTTTGCACTTGCTCTTCCATCTTCCAGATCATCACGTAACATCAACATCTGGGTCTCACCTCATGCAATACTTCCTCTGAGAAGTTTTACTGGGCCACGTTAACCTAATCACTCTCTAACCCACTGCTTTAGCTCATTTCCTTCATAGCATGTTTACCTATTTATTGTCTGTCTCCCCCGGGAGAATGTCAATCCCATGAGGGCAAATGCCTTATCTGTCCTGTTTACCTAGAACACTGTCTGGCCTTTGGAAAGAGCTCAATAAGCATTTGTGTAATGAGCCCTGTCTAGAGGTAAGGGGATGGATGAGATGACCTCCAAGTTGATCTGGTTATAAAATCTAGAGGACAGAGCTCTGCTGTGTGGTGTGTCCTGGGGCTCACATCACCCTTCCCGGCAGGAGGAAAAGACAGGGCGGTAGTAAGAGCTGTGGTTTTAGGGGAAAGACTTGCCAGCTGGGTGGAGCCCACACCACCAGCGGGTCCCATTTCCTATAGAGGAAAATCCTCTAAAAAAGCTCCTTCTGTCTGTCTGGCCGTGCCCTGCCAGTCCACCGCTACCCTCTGGGTTGTCCTCCAGGGCTAGGCAGAGCAGGATTTTGCCACAGCCTGGTGGATTCCGAGCCCCCAGCATTTCCAAGAATTGCCAGGCAAGCTATGCCCCCAGAAGTCATCTTTGGCATCCCTCTGTCATCCCACAGAGGCTGTTATATAATAAGAAACCCTCTTGGGTCACACCTCCAGACCTCCCTCAGCCCCCATTCACCCAGACTCAGACCCTCCACTGCCAGTATGTTCATTTCCTTATCCTCTCTGAAGGCATCTGCTGCTGCAAGAGATGGAAAGCAAAGGGGGAGGGAGAGGCAAGGATTAAGGGAGATCGGTAATAATCAATTACTACGTTTTTGAGCACCTACCTATGTCAGGCACTGTACTGGGCACTTGCACACACATTATCCCATTTCATCTTCATAATAACCTTTTCTTATTCCCATCCCCTTGAGGATGAAACAGAGGCTCAGAGAGGTTACATGACCTGCCCAAAGTCATTCAGCAAATAAAGAAGCAGAGGATGAGATGCACCAGATACTGGGCCTCCACTGTTCAGTGCATCCTTTTGAAACCTCCTCCCCTCTTCTTCCATTCACTGAACTCCTTCTGGAAAGATCATGTGTGAACAGCAAAGGTGGGGTGAGAGGGCGAGGAGAAGGTGAGCCATTATGGGGTGGGGGTGGGGCGCAGACTGACAGGTAAGGCAGGGCATTTCCACCTCCAGAGAGCTGAGCCCATCTGACAGAACAGCTCCCCTCCCAAATAAGCCATCATAATCCAGTACTCCAAGAAGCCGGCTCCTGATCCATCAGTCCTCTGTCCAGGCCTGAGAGGATGCAGCAGGGCTCCAGCCAGCCCTGCCAACCAGGACCCAGCAGCCCCCTCTGGCCTTCTTGCCTCAGTTTTCCTCTCACCAAGACCAGCCCTGAAACACTGATGGGGAAACTGAGGACCAAAGTGCCACCTGGCCAATAAAGAGAGTGGGATGGTCCCGCAGGAGGTTCCATGCCCAGAGAAACCCTGACCTCCGACCTCATCCCCACTCCCCCACCTATCCCGTTTTCCCGCCCTCGGGCTCCTTCGGCTATAGCCCCCATCCCAAGTTTTTCCAGACTGCCCAAATTGGGCCAATCAGGGCTCTGCGCGGCCCACAGGATAACTGAAATGCATCCCCCTCCTCCTCCATTCCCCCAACCAGCCCCCCTCCCCCAACTAAGGGAAATACCTTCAAAGACCCCTCCCTCGGAGCTCGGGTCCCCGCCTGCCACCTTCAGGAGCTGCCCAGACCCCGCGCCGCGGCCTCCCACCCCCGGCCCTCGCCTTCACCTTGACCCGAGCCCGCTCCCGGGCCCCGAAGCTTTGCATAAACAAAGAGCGGGGCAGGGGACGACCCGGGCCCCGCCCCCGGCCCGCCGGCGCCCCCGCTCGCGTCCCCGACCCAAGCCGGTCGCGCCCCCGAGCCCCCAGCGGAGCCAGCCGGCCCGCGGCCCCTTACCTTGGCCCGGCATTTCGGATGACAGGAGAAACTGCAGACTGCGAGAGGGCGACACAGAAAGAAAGTTTAGCCGCGAGGTATGGAATGGAAACTCGGGCGAAATCTCCTCCCACCCCCGCCCGCACTCCGCGCTCGGGAGGGAAGGAGGGAAGGAGGGAAGGAGGGACGGAGGAACGGAGGGAGGAGGGGGCGGAGGGGGGCGGCTGCCGCAGCTCCCCGGGGCCTGCGGGGCGGGAACGCCCGGGACTGCGGACCCGCGGGTCGGGGAGGCGCCGAGCCCTCATCGCCCGAGCCCCTGGGGCTGGCGCGGGAAGGTGGGAGGGGCGGGGGGAGGGGCGGGGGGGGACCGACTCCCCCGCTGGATCCTTGCCAGGGGCAGAGGGACCCAGGCCCCGTGGCAGCCGCGCCGAGGCATGGGGTGGGGGGGGCCTTCTCCCCTTACATACCCCCCAGGCAGGCAGGCAGCGGGCACTCCAAGAACCATGATCACGCTCCCTCTCCCCCAGAGAGAGACACACAGACCCGACTGGCCGTCCAGGAGAGGACCGGTACACACACACATGCACACTTACACCCATACACACACACACTCACCAATAAGCACTCGGCCAGACAAGCACACATACACATATATGTACACACACAGCCTCACACACGTTCACACTCATGCCCCAGGGAAACCTCTGACTCAGGGGCACCCACACACACACTTTCACGGGACACCCTCAGAGTACAGCCTGACACAGACGTTGGACACAGACTCATGGATAGATGCCTACACAGGCTCACAAACTTCTTGTGCATCATTTGAAACACACACACACACACACACACACACACACAGCGGACTTAACTCTGCCCTCCCACTACCAGAAGCTGGAATCAAATTTCCTATGGGGTTCCCTCAGTCTGGAATGTCCCAGCCCTGCCTGCCCCACCCCCAGGGCCCTCCACCCTGGGGTTTGGTGGTCCCCTCCCACCAGGTCCCACAGATGGGGTGAGGGGGTCTACTGAGCTAAGCTTCTGCACTGACCTGACCTTGTTAGCTGCTGAGACGGGTGGGTTAGGGGCAGTGGTTAGAGAACGGGGGTCAGGGAGGCAGGGGAAAGCTGCCCAACCCCAAAGTCTTGGCAAGCCACAGCCCTGGGCCACAGCCAGCTGCCCTGGCCTCTTCGATCTACAGTTCGTCCAACCCCTTTCTGGCTTTGAGTAAACCTGATTCTCAGCAGAATGCAAAAGGGGAGACTGAGGCGCAGATGAAGGCCCAGAGCTGCAAAAGAGGGCTCTGCATACTAAGGCTTCTGATTGGTCTGTAGGAATGGAAGTCTGGGATGCGACCTTGGCCATCGGCCCTGCCTGGGACCTTGTTCTCCCAGAACCTTGTCCTGGCCCCAGCTCAGGCCTGTAACTCAGCTGTTGCTAAGCAAGGCTTTCCTGACCCCACCAGCCACCCAGGCCAGCTCAGGGATTTCTCCACCCCTGGCCACACCAAGACATACCCACCCCTGACCACTCAAGTCAAGTCAGGCCCATCTGTCTAGCCTTTCTGCTTCTCTCTCGCCCCACCCCCGCCCCCACGACCCCAGGATGGCAACTCCCCTCCAGACACCCCAGCCCCACCCCCATGCCTTCTTTCCTGGCCTTGGAATGTGGAATTGAGAAAGCTTCAGGCCATGTGGCCTGAGCTTGGAAGGCCATTCCAGCCAGGCAGGCGCCCCAGTGGGCCACTACCTCCAAACAGAAGGACCTTTCCCCTTCCTCTGCTAATCAAATCCCAAGCCTTCAGGAATAAGTCCTGGGCCCCTCCTCTGGAGGCCTCCCTCACTGTTCCCTACCTCCTCACAGGTATCACCACACAGAGCACGTTTCCCCCACCACCTTGGTCCCTACAGCTATGGGCTCCTTCAAAGGAAGGACCTGTCTCTCTCTCCTCTCTCTCTCTTTCTCTCACTACACAATACCTGGGACCTGGTACATACAGTAGAAGCTTAATAAATGATTGAGGAGTTAGACCTGACTGAAGATCTCCCCCGGGGTTTATGTGTATGCCCCCATTTAATCATTCCCATCCCACTCCCAGCCTTTCCCTGAGACATACCCTGCCCCCAACATTTCATAATCCATCAAAAAGGCATTCCCTAAATGTCCACTCTGGGCCTCCCAACCCCAGTCAAGATACCAACAGCACAATGACAGCCAGGACCCCATCTCCCTCAAGTATCGTACTGCATACTTCTGACAGGTCACAGAATGCACAAATCCTTTCCTACCTCAGGGCCTTTGCACTTGCTGTTCTGGCTGCCTGGACCATTCTCCCTCACCCTAGCTGTCCATTGCTCACCAAGCCAAATCCTTCTTCTACTTCTAGAATCCACTGAAAGTCATCTATCTCCTCAAAGAGGCTTTTCCTGACCACCCAAATGACATTAGGCACTTCCAATATTCTTTCACAGCAGCACCCTGATAATTTCCTTCTTAATACGGTTCACAGTCTGAAGTCAACATGGGTAATTCCTGCTCACTTATGAATAGTATATCTCCCTACACTAGACCCATGAGGGCAGGGAGCATGCCTGTCTCATTCACACAAACCCCCAGTAGCTAGAACAGTTTCTGATCCAGGCCTCCAACACCAAACAGCAGCTTTGTGCAAATTAGAAAATGTCTTACCCTCTGGGCAGACCAGCCCCTTGGCCACACAGCTGAATACAGCGTCTTTGTGGGAATGGCAAGAAGGTGCCCGTTCTCCAGGCGGACCCAGCTCTGTACCTGGGTGCGTGGTTTGGAGAGCAAAGTGTGGCTGCTTCCAGTGCTCTCTCGGGGAGGCGCCCTTGGCAGTGAACGGCCTGCCTGACCATTCAGGGCAGCCCTGCCTGTCACACAGTGGGCAGACATCCAACAAATGCCCTTGGATGGAGGGCAGATGGAGAGATCATTGGGCAACAGCAGTACAGTGAGCTGAGGGCTCCATGCGTGCTGGAATGCTGAGCGTGCCCTTGAGAGCTCTCCAGTGGGGAGCAGACGAAGTCGGCCCCCGGCCCCCAGCCCAGAAGACAAAAGCTCAGCAAAGTTCACTCAAGTGGCAGGTTCCCAGCAGCTCCGCTGGTGGATTTTTACACCTTAGGAACACCTGTAACGCCCAGCCCCAGGGAGGCCCTCTTGCTCTGAGGGCCCTCCCCTCCAGGGGTGGTGCCCTCACAGTCTGGCCACCCTTCTCTGGTCTCCCCCAGGGGGCAGTATTTCCTACTCTAACTGGCCGGTCCCCTGCTGTCATGTGAAACTTGGGCATGCCACTCTGCGGGCTTCCCACTTCGCAGATGCATGGCATGTTCAAATGTGCTCCAGAAAGGGGAACTGTGGCAGCCACAGTTCCCCAGTGCATCCTGGATGCACACCTTCCTGTCATCCTTTCCCACAGTGAATAGGGCTGGCTTACGTAGCCCGCTGAATATTGTAGAAATGCTGGTGTGTGACTCCTGAGGCTCAGTCATCAAAGGTATTGTGGCTTCAGCCCCAGTCTCTTGGATCACTGGCTCTGGGGGAAGCCAGTTACCACGTCGTGAGGACACCCAAGCGGCGCTATAGAGAGGGCCATGTGACGAACAGCTGAGGCCCCCTGCCACCAGCCAGGGCCAACTTGGCAGACGCATGACCGAACCACCTTGCAAGTGGATCTTCCGGTCCCTGTCAGGCCCTCCGATGACGACGACCCCAGCGCTCGTCTTGACTACAACTCACGAGAGACCCGAAGTCCAAACCACCCAGTGAAGCCACATGTGAAACCCTGACCCTCAGAAACGATGTGAGATCACAATTTCATATCTGTTGTAAATTGCTAAGTTTGGGGACAAATTTATTATGTAGCTACAGATAACCAACACTGAAACCAGAGCCCAGGATCCCGCAGAAAGCAAGAGGCTAAAGGCTGATGCTGGGCACTGAGGCCAGAGGCCATCTCCTCGGTCCTTCCTTCCTCCCTGGGTATGGGCATGCTCATCTCTGGAATTCCTTCTTCCCTTTCCTTCCCCTACCAAGCAATTAGTCATCCTGCCCCAGAAAGTAACTCCAAAGAAGCTGTCAAATCTCCCCGCTTCCTGCCAGCCCCCCACCACTGCACCAGTTCAGACCAATTATCCTTCCCTGGGCCCTGTCTCCCCTCCAGCCTTGCCCCCCCTTTAATCCACAGAGTCACAGACCATTCTCAAGTGCAAACTGATCACATTACACTCCTGCTTAGAACTGTCTTGTCCAACTCCTCAGCACACTTACAAGGCCCTGCTTGGCCTGGTCTTGCCCCCACCTCCAGCCACTGCCCCAAAAGAGATCTGCCACACTGAACTCCCCAAAAGGACATTGAGTCAGGTAGGTCTGAAATGGTGAACTCATATACACCCTCCAAGGCCCGTTTCAAAATGTCCCTCTCTGGATAATCACGCATTCAAAGATGATCACTCCCTGCTCTGTGCTCCCAGTTGAGGTCCTATTCAACCTGGCAGCTTTGTATCCTGCCCCTTCTCCAGGCACAGGGTCTGACTTACAGATGGGGCTCAACAAATGTGGCGTAAATTTAAAACTGGAAGAATTCTTCCCAGCCTAAACCACTGGGACCACTGCTGATGTTCTGGGGCAATGGAAAGGACATAAGAGAGGGTGGGTGAGCCCCAATTTTCAGCCCCAGCCCCTGCTGGGAGAGGGCCAATGTGGACCATGGTCAGTGCCTTCTGAGTGCCTCAGTACAAACACCACCTATTACCCAGCTTGGTCAGGCTCTCCATCTACCCGCTTACCTCCCTGGCTACATGGAGACTGGCTCTCAGCTCAGATGCCGGTCATGCTCTGTGATCCGGGACCAGTAATGTAGCCACTCTGAGCCTCCATTTCCTCATCTATAAAATGGGGGCAATAGTAACACCTCCTTCCCAGGGTTGTGAGAGTTGACTGACTTCATATATGTGGCTGGCCCTGAGCATGCTCTGTAGAAAGCTGTAGCTGGTATTAGCATTGTCTGATTCTATATTACTGGTATTCTACCGGAGAA